AGGGAGCGTGCGTCGTGACCCGCAGGCGTTCCGGACGCACAGGGCAAGCAGCCCCTCCGCATGCTTGTCGACAGCGCGGCGTCTGCGGGCACGTTTTTTCCTCTTTCCATCTGGGCTTGGGGCGGCCGCGTTGACAAGGGTTTGCGCACACCGGGGAGACACATGCCGCGTAGGGGCGTGCAGCGTTGGAGGGCGGCCCCGCGGAAGGGATTTCGAGGGCCGGGGCGTGAGGCACCCGTGCACTGCGAGGGGGATCGCGCGAGGCGGGCAGAAGTCCTCTTTCGGCGCCCTCGTTTTGTCCGAGGGGACCAGTATAGCGTGCGGAAACCGCCCGGACCCTGTCGACCGATGTTGGATTGGCAGCCAAATGTTGAAGAAAACGCGACACAATTTTCCCGTCTCGCTCTCCTTGTCTTCTTTTTTGGGAATGAGGAAGCCGCAGACTTTGTGGAAACCCCCGAACTCTCCCCTGATGGAGCTTTGCTGGGTGAGACTTGCGGTGGTGGTGGCCTTCAGGATGTCCGTGCTGTAGCTACAAGGGAGGAGGCGGCGCCACATGCGTTGCGTGACGTCGTCATTCCACTAAACGTGGATAACAATGAGGCCATGAGCCATCTTTCCCGTCTGTTGGGATTTGCTGCTTCCTCACGCAAGGGTGCTCACTGCTCGCGCAATCCAGCGTCCTTTCGGCCGCTTTTTTCTGCTGGCAGTGGACACCCTCGCGCGACGCGTCCGTGGGTAAAGGTCTTGCCAGAATTAGGCAATATGCCGGGGGAGAATGGAGATGGCGTCTACAAGCTGCTGACGGATATGGAACTGCGGCAATGCCCCAGTTACACGGCGACCTCGCGAGGGCAATCCCGCCGCCTCTGGCCAATTGGAAAGTACGGCTTTAGACTGGCGGAGCGATTACCTGCGGGTGCCGCTGCGTTGGCTGCATCCGGTACGGCACGGCAGCGGGGCACGAAGGCCCTTGCTCTTCACTTTACTTTGCCCGCTCATGCATACAGTATGGCCTTCTTTAGGGAATTCATGGCAATCGAGGATTGCGCACCTGTGTCACATACTCCCGTTGAGAGCCACCGCCCTCTGGAGACGAAGCTTCCTGTGGATGCGGCGGACAAGGATGAAGTCGTGGTAGAGGTGACCGTGCCTGGTGGGGAAGGTGTTGATGGTGACCTCTTGGGGAAACTGAGGATGAAGTGATTCTATAAGAGGGGAACAAACGAACATGTTTCTGTAGTTTTGCGGGCGTGTACTTCACAAAGACGCCATTTTGGCTTGAGAAACAGCTTGCGACGTTGTGTGTTGCGCGCGACGGAGGTAACGTCTGTGCAAGTAGTGTCTATTTGTGTGTGTGGAGGGGGGGGGGTGATTGACTTCTAAGTTGACGTTTTGTTTGCCTGGTCGCAAGGGCTTGCGCTTTCTGTGCGTGTGCATGTTGGGTGTGTTTGTACTGTGTCTCTGGATTGCAGTGCTGCCTTCTTCTTGTCATTGCCGTACTTTCTGCAGTGATTATTAAAAAGTAAGCAAACGAGAGGAGTGCCTGAAACTGGGGCATAATGTCTGTTGATTGGGAGGCCGTGAAGCGAAGCATCAGTGAGGAATGGGACAAGACGGTGTTGCCTGCTCTCTCCGCATACATTGCGGTTCCAAACCAGACGCCGCTCTTTGATCCGGAATGGGCCACCAACGGCCTCATTATGAAGGCCATGAATGTCATGCTGGAGTGGGTGAAGGGCCAGGGTATCAAGGGCCTAAAATATGAGGTTCTGGAAGAAGAAGGTCGGACACCGTTCCTCATTTTGGAGGTTGACGGCACAAAGCCCACAGCGAAGACGGCGCTGCTCTATGGTCATATGGACAAGCAGCCACCTCTTCTTCCATGGAGTGAGGGCCTTCACCCCTACAAGCCCGTGTACCGCGATGGGAAGTTGTATGGCCGAGGCGCCGCAGATGATGGCTACGCTGTATTCTCGGCGGTGAGCGCTTTGGCGGCCGTGCAAAAGCACGGTCTGCCCCATGGACGCGTCGTCGTGATCATTGAGGCGGCTGAAGAGTCTGGGAGTCCCGACCTCCCCCATTACATGGGGCGGCTCAGCGACCGCATCGGAGATGTGGATCTTATTGTCTGCCTGGACAGCGGGGTTATGACGTATGACAAGGTGTGGCTAACCACTGCGCTGCGAGGCGTTATTGATGGCAACCTCACCGTTGAAACCCTGAGCGAAGGGATGCACAGTGGTGTCTCTGGTGGTGTTGTTCCAGACACCTTCCGCATTGCTCGCCATTTGCTTGACCGCATTGAGGACCCCACAACGGGCGAGATAAAGCTTCCTGAGGCGCATTGTGTTATTCCGGAACCTGTCGTGAAGAGCGTGGATGTCATGAAGGAAGTCAATTTCAAGGAACAATTTGCGTTGCTGCCGGGTGTCTCTTCCGAACCCGGCGACAATGCCGAGCTCGCTCTGCGCAATTTTTGGAAACCCTGCCTCACCGTGACGGGGGCCAACCTTCCGGAACCCGCCGTCGCCGGCAATGTGATTCGCGCAAAAACAGTGCTGCGGCTTTCGGTTCGTGTCCCGCCATTGGCGGACGCCGAGGCTGCCTGCAATGCCCTGAAGAAAATCCTTGAGGCGAACCCACCATATGGTGCCAAGGTTGTTTACGAAGCAGAGGATGCGGGGCACGGATGTGCAACCCCGGAGCTCAAGCCGTGGCTTGCCAAGTCCCTAACTGAAGGCAGCATGAGCGCATTCGGCAAAACATTTGCGACGCAGGGCATGGGTGGCTCCATTCCGTTTATTGCGGCGCTTATCAAGCGATACCCAGAGGCCCAGTTTGTGGTAACGGGTGTACTGGGGCCCAAAAGCAACGCACACGGACCAAACGAGTTTCTCCATGTGCCCTACACGAAGGGTCTGACCTTTTGCGTCGCCCGCATGTTGGCCGACCACTTCCATGCCACACCGAAGCTGTAGAAGTAGGGAGGGGGTTGTGAAAAAAAAAACGAGCGAAAAGAAAACGAAGTTGTTAGCTTTCTTTTTCTTATTTTTAACTATGCATTAACCGTTTTTGTAATATTTGTTGTTTTTGTTTTTGTTTCTGTGTGTGTATTGGAGTGAGGATAGGTGGAGGAAAATACGTAGTGCAAGGACGGGAGGCTGCTTACGTATTGGTCTGTCTTTCTCCCCCAATGGGCCTCTGGGTTTTTTTTTTTTCCTCTGGGGGCTGGGGTGCTAGCGTGGTATGTTCATGGATTTTCCACATGTAAGTGAACGCGGGTGGCCCATTGAAGCTTGTCTGTCTTCGGTGGTGGGCCGCCCGCCGGACGCAAAGGCCAGGGGGTCCGGGGATGCCGCGTTTGCCCGGAAGAGCGCCGGAGGGGCGAGCCCCCTGCCTGTCGGCGTGCGCGGACGCTCTTGAAATGCGGACACGCGGTGTTGTTGCTGTCTCTCTCTTCCGCTCTGTCTTTTTTTTTTTTAGTCGCGCGCGCGATGCAATTTGGCGCGGCCGTGCGTGGCAAGCGGAGCCGGCGGGGGAGGGGGTGCGCGGTGGCGCGTGTCCTCCCTGGCGCAGTCGGCAGCGCGTTAGGCTGTTAACCTACAGGTCGTTGGTTCGAATCCAACGGGAGGAGCTTTTTCGACAGCCCCGGGGGCGCACGTCGCCCTGGCGGCGGCCTCTGCGTTTGGCCGGCGCCCGGATTCTGCGCCGCACCTGGGCGGGCTTGGCCGCGCCGCGGGGGGCGATGTTTTTCGCCTCCGGCGCCGCGGAGCCCGGAGTTCCTCGGGGCCCCGCGTTGGAGCGGCCGGGGCGGGCGACGCGGACTCAGGCCGCTCGCAGCCAACGGGCGGCTGAAGCGAGGGAGCTAGAGGCCGGCCCGGCGCGGAGGAGGCGCGGGTTCAGAGC